CGTAGGTACATGAATATCATATTATTGTTTCACGTATAATATACATAAAGGCATTGTATTGTTATACATATAGGTATCACATTGTGTTAACATACATGAATGAACACGAATAACAYTGRACGTGTGTAGGTATTGTATTTTATTATTAAAAATTACAATTACCATGGTCGAGTTGGATTTCAATTTTAATTGTTACCCCGAAGATATATATAAGTGGTACGTTTCATTAGACGAGTACATCGAATGATATGTTATTCAGAAATATCAAAAAATATTTGGCATTTAACTTTGATTTACGATATGCTATTTTCGACTGTTTACGTACGTGGTGTATTTTTCACGAATACAATCCGACCTTTAAGTAAAGTTTTTTTTTTTACAAAATTAATGGGGATAGTTAGATAAATAATAAACATACCATTTTTAGAACCTATTACCTATACACGCGGATGTATTATCACAACTATCTATGGGGGGAAAAAATGTTCACGTATTACAAGTGGTCTTTAATCTACTAAAAAAATTTAATAAATTTTTATTTATTAACAAGAARAAAGCCTCGATAGCGAGACCATTGGATTTTTAACATATTATGAGGTACTTAAATATTTTAACCTAGATTGCACAATTTAATATTTTTCATAAATAATAATATACTTTGGATGGATTCTTCGTCAGAACCCAGTGCGTCTTGAAAKCGCTCAGGTATGTTTATTTTTGTTGGGCATCTTGTGTGTCTCTACCTTCATAAAGTGATCATGTGTTTGATCGAGGTTGGATGTCCGCGTGTAAGGCATATTCTTGATGGCTCTTTTCTCATTAGATGGTCATGTGTGTAGTGTGCAGTATAATGACCTATTCTGAGGCGATTTAATATAACTTCGTCTTTTCTTTTGAAAGGTATTGGGCCATTTTTCAATTGTTCTTTTTACTTCGTTTAATTTTAAGCCATTCGTTTTGCATTTATTTCTTATACGGTTGTAAAACTTTATTTTTAGACCTTGTCTAACTTTATATTCTAGAGAGTTTGTTGATGTAAGTTAATGGCTTTTTCCTTGGCAAGTATGTCCGCTCTTGCACTACCAGTTATTCTGCAGTAACCGGGTATCCATGAAAAGATTATGTTATTGTCAAATTTATTGGTCAAGTTGATTATTTTATTATCAATAATATTGACGTTACTAATATTACTAATACTAGTTAGATAAAGTGCTCATTGAGTCTGTTAAAATTATGTTATTCATATTATTCCTATTAAAGCTAGTTACTAGATAAATTAACTCATTAATAATAATATGTTTTTAACRAAAAAATTTCAGATAACAATATAATGATTAGAATCCAAACAATTTTATTGATTTATATTTTCACTGGTAGACTGGTATTAAATAAAGTAATTTAGATAAAATGTCACTCGGGCGACTACGTGCCGTCTTGTCTTAGACTTTTAGTAGAGTCATAGCTAATGGACAGCTAGTGTACAAACCGTTCGGCGCATTACACTATTTACTATTAATTTTATATTGTAATATAAAATTAATAGTAAAAATAGTAAATTAATAGCTGCAAACTAATTTTACGTATTTTATCTATAATTCCCGTTAAACAATAAATACAATAATTATACACCGGTGAACGGATTATTATAAATATGAAATACATCCTATTTGGGCTATAGTAAAATGTGATTCCTAAAAGTGGCTAAATTAATAATATGCGTACGGTAGTTGCTTTATTTTTCTATTATTTTCGACGTCTACAATTCACTCATTAACCATGATGATTAAAATCGAACACTCTGTGTCGCAAATTAATTTGAATCGGATCCCTCTTTTTCCTATTCAYATATACCTACAATTTTATTGTATCGCAAATAGTTTAAATTTTTCTTACTTATTTATTACTTGTCAAAACTTGTTATATTAGGGTAGATACTTGTTTATTTGTTGTCACATTGAAACGTTGTACGGCGTATATAACTTACTGATGTCATATATCTTAAGGTTAAGTGGTTTCCCCGTTTTTTTTTTTTTTAAATTTGTTTTATATTGCTGTTGATTACCGTTGAGGATTACACATATTATATACTTTAGTTTTAACGCGATATTCGACCTACTTATAGTAATAATACGATGTATGTACAATATATACCTATATTATATTGTACTCAAGTAATTTTAAGTTGCCTAAACCCGAAGTTCTCGAATCGCGCAATAACAAAGCCACTATATATATAGGACCTACATATACGTAATATAAGTGTCTACGAAACCTTTCTTTACAAACCATCAAATGGAGAATCCATCCAAGTGATTTGAAAATCATTGTTTTAAGTCGATGCAAACATGTACAATATTCTTTCACGCATGCACATACCCTTAGGTAAGTACGTAAGTACTCACATAAAACATGTACGACATCGGATACATCCGTAAAAAATATAATATGTGATTTTGATCGAATTTCAGCGATATAAAACTGCAAAATAGTCGCAAGTATGTTATAGTGTAATCTAATAAGGACTGTGTGCCGATTTATATTTTTGTAAAGCGTTAAGTGTTAATATACCTAGTAATATCTTAAATATATTTAACATATATTCATGACCACATAAGCGTAGATTTGGTTAAAAATATAGGCCCCGGGAGGGAGGGGGGTAGAAATAATATCAACTAACATAATTYATTATACTTGCGAGATTAATTTAGGAAATACTTTTGGAGGGGGGTCTTCAGTTTGTTTTAGGTAAGCCCCCAAATCCCTCTCCCCTAATTTACTTCTATGTTCATGACGTGTTTTGGATTAAATGTTTTACAAAATTTGTTTAAAGATGCTATCATAAGCGAATCAGAGAAATGGCATAGGAGCTATCAAATAATCGCAAAAGTGACTCTCATACTGTCCTGCATGCTATAGTGTAGTATATAGAGTCAACATTTGATTCATGATAAGAAAAATAGCGTGAACCAGGAAATCGTTCAATAAACCCAAAATTGAATCGGAGTGATTGGTTTTTTTTTTTTTAACAATGTGACATATTATAGTATTGTTTTTTCTCACCAAACCGTGACATTCGATTTACAAAAGTTGTACAATGTAATAAATAAACTCAAAACTCTTTCGTCTCAATTTCCGAACAAAATTCGATTTGGGAAAAAAACGGTCGGTTAATATAGGAGACAAAACTACAATATAATATTGTACACTACAAAATAATATTAAATAATTATTAAATAATTATTATTTCACAAAAAAAATAATAATAATAATATTTTTAATTTATAGTTATTATTTCGACTTGATAATATAAATAATAGATACATTTTATTAAAATCTAATAATTCTAACTATGCAGTATTTCTGTTAAAAGTGTTAATGTTGGTAAATGCATTGGGGACGTGGGGAGAGATGATATAGGTGAACTCTATCAAATATTTAAACCCCCTCCCCTTAATATTTTCTATACAGGATTTGCGTTTAGCTCCGGTTTAACGTCCAGAGAGCTTAAATATTATATTCCGAAGAAGTATCAGCTCTTTATTATGCACATAAACACCGATTTGCATATAAAGTGCATRGACACGCAAACCTCTACACTCTACGAATCTAGCGTAGCCTGAGGGGAATTTCAAAGCTGATTTTAAGCGCAATCGGTCTCACGAACGTGAGGATATAAAATGATTTACATACGACGCGATTTATAATATAATATTATTATCATCGTATTATAGATACGACCCACAGTATTAGGTAGGTACTTATAATTTATATGTATAACAATATTATTATTATGTCGTCAGATCATGGCGTAGAATATCGACTTTCGAGTGGGATATAAACAGGCTGATGCGGGTGGGTGGTTACAATGTTGGACTTAGACATTTGAATTTTCCATGATTTCAGACACAAAKATTCAAAGCGTACGATAATGCATTGTGTTATATTATATTTTCATACTACACGAACACATATTATATCTAGGATGAGCGGAAATTTTAAATTTTCTAACTCAGCAGAAGCCCGTGTAAGTACAATAGGTACATAATATTGATAATTCGTATTAATTATTGTACCTATACCTATATGAGTACTTTTGTATAGATAGAGAATCGGCTAGTGTACTATACGGCTAGTGTATAATAGCTTTAAATCTTTTTTTGTTTTTATAGAGTRCGGCGTAACAGTTTTAGAATATCCACGCACGTACTACTTCAAAAACAACGCTTATTAGGACATAGTTATATACGAGTAGATTAAATGGTTTATAAAAATTGTGGAAAACTGATATTTATGATTATTATATCCAATACCAATAAAATCAAAAAATTCATTTTTTATAAATTACCAAAAAGCACAAAATAGAAAAAAAATCGAATTTTAAGTGCTCGTGTTACGATAACAGTTTGAGGATACAATAAATACACTCGCTACATTATTGCTAAACCATATAGCTATATTTTACGATGGGTGCMCATTAAGGGCGTAAATAGTATAGAAGATGAGTGCAAAAATAATTTATGTCCTATTTAATACTGAATCCCGTTGGGAGATTTTCTCTCCACRCCCCACATCCATCATCACCACATATCCACCCACTCGAACACCCTCGATTACCGGTCAATAACGTATATATAATCCTAATATAAAATATCACGACTTGACTATATATTAATATATAARCCAACTAAATGCTAATGAACGAAACACTTTTTCTGTGTTCTCAGGCGGATCGAGCTCGGCGAACGAAGAGAACAGCCGACCCAGCACGCCGCACAGCGTGGGGGTCAACACCGGCGGTACGTCGTCGTTGGCCGGCCACAGTCCGGACGGATGGTCGACAGGCGAGGACGGCGGTGGTGGCCGCGGCCCCGGGTCGCCCAACCACCAGCGGCGGTTCGTTGGCAACTGCGGCGGCGGTGGCCGTTACATGGACCAGTCGGTGAACGCGGCCGCGTCCATGGACGACGACGACGACATGGCAGACGACGGTCCTGACGACGATGACGCCGGTAAAAAGGACCACGGTGGGTGCGGGACCGGTGGCGGTGGTGGAAGCGGAAGCGGCGGGGCGGGTGGCAAGCGGAAGAAGAAGACCCGTACGGTGTTCTCCCGGAGCCAAGTGTTCCAGCTCGAGTCCACGTTCGACATCAAGCGGTACCTGTCCAGCTCGGAAAGGGCCGGGCTGGCCGCGTCTCTGCACTTGACCGAGACCCAGGTGAAGATCTGGTTCCAGAACAGGCGGAACAAATGGAAGCGTCAGGTGGCGGCCGAGATCGAGGCGGCCAACATGGCCCACGCGGCCCAGCGTCTGGTGCGCGTGCCCATCCTGTACCACGAGTCCAGTCAGCAGTCAGCTGCCGGCCATCATCACCATCACCACCATCATGGTGGTATAGCCGCCTCGGTGACCACGGTGGCCGGTGGTGGTGGTGGTGTTGGCGGAGGAGTCGGCGGCGGGGGTGGAGGCGGCGGWGGCAGTGGTGCACAGACGCCGCCGCACACGTCCGCGTCCACGCAGGCGTCCGCGTACCAGCCTCAGCAGCCGCCACCGCCGCCGCCGCCGCCGTCGCTGTTCTATCACCATCAGCCGCCGCCGCAACACCACCACGCCGTCAGCACGTCCACCATCACGCACACCATGTCCAGCAGCCCTAACGCGGTGTCCAGGGCGCCGCTCACCGGACTCGTCTAAATAATATTATTATTACGTCATCGTCGCAGTACGAGTGACTCGCCGCTCTTCACATATTATTACCTCTTATGCATTTCTCTCTCAGCCGTCTCCCACGTTTTTATAGCAAAAATAATATAATATAATTTATGCGTTGTGAGTTCTCAACCAGTGGGTGTGGGTGGGTGTCTATTGTGGGTTGCCATCGACCACCACTATAATAACACGCGTTGACGACTAGGTATATACTTATATATTTTGTAACCTATATAAACGTGTGCACGAAGATGTAATAATATCAGCTGATTCGGGGGGGTGTTTTATCGAGAAGAAGATTGGTTGAGAATTATCACTGGCGTACCTTATTTATTGTAATACGATGCCTCGTCCCAATGTTTTTCGTACATTTTTCTATATTCGTGAATAATCGCCTATAACTGTAGAAAGTGCCCTGTCAAGTCCATATCTATATATTACATGATTATCGATTTTGATTTAGTCAGGATTTAATATTTGTTTAGTCTAAACAGTTTAGATACTCATTTATTACGTATGGTTAACAAAATACGTCCATAACGAGCTTTTTTGTCTCCAGTAAAAAAAAAAAAAAATACAAAGATTCGGTATATCTTAATGGCCTTTCTGCACAGTCAAAACGATTCAAGCGTACCATTTGCATTCAGATCAATTATTATTATAATATATTAATTAAATTTTCGTTCATATTATTATAATTCACTGCAGTTTTATTAATACACACACACACATATATATATATATATATCGTGTTAGGAATCGACTGCTGTTGTACATACTCGTAGGACCGCCTCGATACGATAATATTATTTTATGTTATAATATTCGTAACAACGCAATAATAATAATTATTGTTAATCGTTAATATTATTATTATGGCCACGATATCAATTTTTAGTCGTTTGAATAAAAAACAAAAAAAAGTTTTTATTTTTAATTTAATAATATTMAACTATTGTACATAATAACATAATGGGTGTGTAAAATTATTATTTATTTACGACCTTATCATTATAATTATCATTATTATACTAATTATGTAATATTTTATGTAAAGTCGCCGAAATCCGTAACGGGTTACCCGCAGCGCAGTTATTTGTGCGGACGCCGTCGTGTACATAAACGAACTATAACGGTTTTTAGAATAGTGACACTCTTCTAATTTATTTTAATTAGACCATAAGATACAGCGTGTAGATATTATTATTATTATTATTATTATTATTATTATCTAAAAATAAAATAAAATTATTGTTGTATGCAACATACTGTATATTATAATATTATATTATTCGAACGGTAATTCGGGCCTCGTGTTTTGCTATACATATTACATATATTTATATATACCTATAATAACATGTGTAATGTATAATATTATGAATTTTTATTGTATCATAATAGTTAGCGATTTATTTTTCCAGTTACCAAATATTATAAGAGTAATATTATGTACCTACTTAATACATTGTAATTATTATTGGATAGTTCGTCTGTTATTGTTTTTATTTTATCGGATTTTTTACTGTTAATTTTTTTTCGACTTTATTACTTTGGTTTAAAACACGGCCTAAATTCCGATTGAAAATGTGTCATCTTGCTCTATATTATATTATGTTATAGTGCGATGTTCAGTGAATAAAATATTTTAATGGTACTATAATATAGCTAGATAAAATACTAATCGTCGTTTTTCTGTGAACACGCTTCTTATACTTGACAGTTGGATCTCATCATACCATTCAAACGAACCYATAAATGTTTGAAAAAAAGTGTTATCCTATGTAATTTTACGCATAGTAGGTATGAAGTTTTCTTTTTTACCTGGGTCCGATGAAATATGAAAACACAATAAATACTGCATCGTCTAATCGGTGTAATTAAAATAATTGGATTATCGAAATATCGYAGGGAACGAAAAAAAAAATTTAATAATTCATGGGCATTGTACCGCATCACCTGGTRGTCTGGGGTAGGCTCTTTTTTTAGAAGGCGTTGTATGAACAAAATCCCAAAATAACATTTTTTGGAAATAAAATAAAAACGTACCTATAGGTATTTGGYAAGTACGATCTATGTTCACATGCTGAATCATGTGACAAGAATAAATATTATGCAAATATTATAATAGAATATAACCTTTTTYAAYATAAACTTCAATATTCTATTTATAAAAAAATGTGTTTTAAAAACATCGTAACAAAAAAAAGAAATACTGATCAGCAATAAGCCGAGTAACCAATTATTTTCTGGGTAATCAGAAGTTGCACTCACAAAAAAAAAAATGGTTTTGATAAATATTTTAATTTCGATCATATGAGCATATTATATTTTATTTAGGATAACTTATGTATTATACTGGCTCTGTGCAGTAGTGGCCAAACATTTCGCACACCAATATGGATTAGATGATATAAAATGTATTTTTGTCGCATTTCATTCATACGAAGACGTCAAAATGTATAGTCGAACTTTTCGATTAACCAGCGATTAAAGATTTAAAGGGCTTGTCTCGCTTTATCTATAAATTTAAATTAAAAAAAGAAAAAAAAACAATACAATAGATTGTTGGATTGGCCCGTTCGYTCTTTGGCGCAATATTTAATATGAAAATATACTTTAAAATATTTATTTTTTGTGCGATCGAAAATCGATAGCGATTGAGTTTTCTATCTATTTACCATATTATAAAATGCTACTTTATAGTGATATTTTCGTGATCGAAWTTATAACWCTAATCTCGTAGACGAACTCGTCGAGTGCGTAGGTACTTGTTAAATTTATCGCACYTAATTTATGCGATATTAAACCAAAATAAACTATATACATAATATTTGAATCAATCAGCGAGTTTTTTCTTCTGTTCGATACTGCAGCACACACTTAGTGGTGTAACGGAGTAGGCAACACACGACTAACAAAAAAAAGTCAGTTTTTCGTGGGCACCGCACACGGATACACGTAGCTCGGCTAAATTATATTATTGTCATTTGGGCGGATTTTCATCACGCGTCGCGGGCTACGACGAAGACCTGCAAACAATCCGATTTAATAAAATAATAACAATAAATATTAAATYACGGAACGTTAAGCACGATAGTGATGGCGGTTAATTCTCTTTTTTTCGTTGGTCGTTTCACGGCGGACAGAGAGAGAGAGAGAGAGAGAGAGGGAGAGAAACATAAAAAAAAAAACTGCAGTGTTTGTACATCAACCGGAGCGTGCAATGTACGTAAATACGAAATAATATAACATGATGTGTGTGCAGTAACTATATACCTACCCACTGCAGCATATAATATATTGTTGTACAGACGACCGTCGTTCTTATATTATTATATCGTTTTTTTAGTTTTCGGCGCTGATCGCATTGTAAACGGTAATTCGTGCGCGGAAAACCATCACCGGAAGGATTGCCGCTCGAGAACTACTGAGCGACTTCAGTGGCGGCGGCCGAAGGGTACCTACTATAGGGTGTCGCGTTACCCGCCGCGTGGTTGCAGCTAGAATTACCGCTATCGTGGTACCTACGTACCTATATACCGAGCGCGGTTACTAGTGCAGTGCAGTGTTCACCGGGCATAGACCTCGCGACGAGCACAAATTGTGTGCGGTCCGAATACGAAACACGTCGAGGTGAGGACTATGGTTGTTTAAAAAAAAAAATGATCATCAAAAAACCGTATCGTGAGAATTCGCTGTTATATTCTTATAGGTAATAGATAACGTATAATATTGTCTAATCTAATTCATATCTAGCCTAACCTACCTATATAGGATACTGTTCTATTCGTACGAGCCCGTCATATTATTTCAACAAACTGCTGTGATACGAAAGAATAAGTTTTTAATTTTTCGACAATATATAGCCCGCGTCTGTCGAACAAATGACGAATCGAAACAAAAACGAATCATCGCAGATTTTTTTTCTTATACATATATATATTTTTTTTATATATATTGTATAATTGTATACCTACGTATATCTTAGGTAATATGTATAGGTATATATTATTTTTATAAACACTCTTCCGGTCTTCTGGACAAAAAACAAGTGCCCTTAAAGTTTTTTTTTGCCTTATCAGCTATATCGATCGGAAATCTATTCCGTATACCTTTATACATACTTTAYTTATACCACATWTACTTTGAAAAGTATATAATAAAYTGTCGATGGTCTCGATGGATTGCCTTAATGGCCAACAAAAATGCAGTTTGAGTACCCTTCGAAGATGTTATAAATATCTACGATTGTAATCCTTTTGGGTTATAATTAGGACTTAAGACTTAATTAGAACTTTAAGAAGCAATAGAGTGATAGAGTATATACAATAGTGGCCAAATATAAATAAAACAACAAACTTAAAATGTGTTAAATTATTTTTATATATTTTATAATTGTGTAAATATTTATTTTACTATGGCGTGTAAAGGTGGATAAAAAAAAAATTGGTCAATTTTCTTTCGTTTACAGTCCAAAAAATATTAACCATGCAAAGGTGCTTGGATCGGTGTCTTAGAYAACTTGAATGAATAAGTGTATATAATTAGGCTTACACAATTTTAATAAATTTGGTATATAATAAGCGTAAACAATGTTAAGAAAAAAGGTTTCACATAATTATATAGAAAGTATACTTGACTTGGAAAAGCAGTTCATACTGTTGATACTCCACGCTCTTGTGGGGTCTTGGCTTGAAAGGATCACGTGGGAAGCATTAACTAAGTGGTCGGTAGGTCTCATCCTTTCATTTTTTCACCAGTTCGAAATAATTTTTTCTTATGAATGTCGTCTGCAAGGAGATCAGTTAAAGACTTCAAAATCAATAAGAGACAATATTTCGTAAGTTTTTCTGCAATAATTTGTTTTCATTTAAATATTACATCCTGCAAGTCTGCTTGTAAAATTTGATTTGCGTCATAAAATTTCGAGAGGCATTTGTGATTAATCGAGAAAATATACCAAGTGCATGCGGTTTGTTTATTTTGAGTATAACTTTTGTGCCGTGAATTGTGCGTATCATAATAATATTATTATTTTTTTTTTGGCATCATATAACACGTAATAATATAGTAACATAATTTATGAGCTTCAAGTTCATACAGCATCGCACCACGTTGGTCAGCGTCGGAAGTGTGTGGGGTGTCGCGCTACAATGGAAAACGTTATTATATTATCATAATTGTCACGTCGTTATTGTTGTCGTACGTCCATATATTATACAATCATAATATATAGTTGGTACAGCCTGCAGTGTGTCAGAGAGAGAGAGAGAGAGAGAGTATAATAGTATAATATTGTACCTATTTGGTCAGGTTTGGCCGTCATTATTTAATAAATCGCATCTAGCTCGAACCGAGTAATAGCCGCCGCTGTGCCGCCGCGAAGCTGGAGTGTTCGGAGAGAGGCGAGTAAAATAGGCGTCGGATAATAATATATAATATTATTGTACATAGCGAGCCGAAGCGCACAATGGGGGTGCGGTAGTTTTTCGTATTATTTTTTTATTCGACGTTATGTTGTTTCGGCGTATCGTTATAACTTTTTTTCAGTGTTAATATTATATTATAGTCCGCACCGTACCACGTCGCGCCAACCGAGATAATAACAACCMGCCGCCGTCAGAGTGAATAATATTTAATTATTTCCTGTTTTTTGAGGAGCCGGTGCTACTGCAGCAGCAGCGTGTGTGGTGTGGAAATAAACAACGAGCCGATCAAACGAACTCTTTTTTTCGCACACGTACACACAAACAAATGTAGATATACAATAATATAATATTATTATTATACTC